TATATACTGTTAAAGAGTTTCACTGTTTTCAAGAAACCTTTTTGTTTAGTGCGCAGAAAGCAGTTTCATAGACTAAAATGTTGAATTATGAAAATTATGAATTATTTCTTGGATTGTTTTTGTGTTCCCTTTGTGATACACTTGGTCTCGATCCATTAATCAATTGATTTGTGACACATGATCTAATTATTGACAATCGATCAAAAACAAAAGATATCGAAAAAACATTTACAAAAAATTTTGGTATGCTGCTTCTCTAATTTAACTGATTTATTTAATTATTTACGTATATATATAAATCCAACAAGTCAAATATATTCTCATGAAATTTTCTTAGAATATTATTTAATTGTATAAAATAGCAATACAATATTTTTGGTGCAATATGAATATTTAAAGTATTTTAGAAAACTGATTTTAGCAATCGCATGATAACTATTTTTTTTTTACAAAAAAATTTCTTTATGTCAAGCTTGCTATAAACATATTAATAGCTATAATGTTATTCTTGGTTCACATCACATGCGTATGAAAATGAACAGAGGAAAGAAGACTATTTCACCCTATGCCATTTTCGTAGTGGTCGGATGTCTTGCAGTCATTGTAACTGTTACAGTCACTCTCGTAGTTTCAAATGGTGTAGAAGTATATGATGGAGGTGGAGGAGTTGGTGGTGAAGTAGGAGCATGTGATGGAGGTAATGGCGGTGGAGGAGCATGTGATGGAGGTGGTGATGGAGATGATGATGAAGCAGGTTCACTGTAATCATTAATGTTAATTTCAGCGACAGATTGACTGTTATCACGCTTTCCTGATTTACTTTCACCGTTTATTATGAGATACAAGCCAGTTTTTGGACCTTGATCATCAAGTCGGTTTGGAATTTCATCATCATGATCCGCGACTTTGTCATCGTAAATATCTTTTTCATCGCATGTATGATATTTAATACCTTCTTTTTCACAATCCCAAGTTAATTTATCAACTTTAATAACCCACGGTTTGGTTCCCCAAGGTCCAATATAACATTTTTCATCAAAGGTACCAAATTTATGCCTCTTATTAAGATAACCACCTCTCTTTTTGTAATCATTTTTTTTCGAATCATCAGAAGAATAACCATTGCATCCACTATCCTTAACAAACTCCATATTGAGCCAAGAGGTAAGATTAAAAAGAATTTCTCCACAACCATTTTGAATAGTCCAATCGTAATTCCAAATATTTGGATCTTGAAATCCGTACTGATAAGTGCCAGTAAGCCATGTATTTCCCTTTACATCTTGATAAAATATCATTTGACCTTTTATATCACATTCAGAAGTAGCCGAAAGCATAGCCTGTGGACACGTTTTTGATTCATTGTCTTTTCCGGAATGAATAGGATCAGAAGCAACCTCAAAGAAAAAAACCATAAAAATGGTTAAAGTAATTAAACGAGGAATTTTTTTCAGATGCATTGACGAAATATATTATTGTTGAAATGTTAAGAAATTGTATTTTTTTTTTTTTCTATTGATAGAAGAGTTAAGTTTTATTACTGTTTGTACCGATTCAACTTCATTGTTTATATATAAGACGAAAAAAATTAGAATCGAAAAAAAATTTTATGTAATGATAACGTATTGAAGGTAAAGACATTAATTGAATGTTCTTGGCTATTACGTACGAATAGGGATGTAAATGTGGAGTAATTATGAGGTGACGATCGAATTACGTTCGGTTGGAATAATGAGGTAAGATCAATTAATTACTTAATTAATTTACTGTATTAATTTTTATTAATTATTATAATTTATTGAAATAGTAAAAATAATACGACGGGTTACTTGAAATCAT